TAGCTAAATATTAACTTTTGATGATTATTTGATGTGTGTAGACATAGAATGTTTGAAAAACTGATCATGATGAGATAACGCCACTAGATGGTGCAATTGCGATGATAAACAATTTTTGACATTGTTTTCTATGGAATAACATATTTTTACAGTTGGGCCATTGAAGAGGAGACCAGAGGAGCTTAATAAATACATAAAATGGGTTTTTATAATATAGATTTTCCAGGGGGTGAACTTATGACATTTTTCAATCTAAATTGATATTAAATTACAGGGTGGTAGTGAATTACATGGGTGAATTGATTTGTTGGTTAATTGGGAATGTTTTTATATTAGATCACCAGGGGGAGTTGGGAGGTTCTGTTATTTACATACATATGCACATTAAAACCACTTGGGGGAGTGGTGGCGCAGAGGTTAGAAGATGGGCCTGTGATCGGAAAGTCGCAGGTTCAACTCCCAGTACCATCAACATCAAAATGTGGGTGGAAAAGGTGAAACACCCACACCTGCCTCCACCCTCATTCGCCCCACCCTGGGCCCCTGAGCAAGGCCCTTTACCCCCACCATCTTCTCCTAAACAGGTCTCTCTTGAAAATGAGTTCTCGTGACTCAATGAGACTACCTGGATAAATAAAGGGTAAAAAATAAAATATGCTAAATGTTTAAATTAGATTTTTATTCACACAAACACATTTTTCAGCTGTGACAGGCTAAACACACCGGCAGTGCTCTGTGCAATTAATTGGATATTATATGATTGAAGGGGAAGGGGGCACAGAGTTTTTTCTTTTTTTTCTTTTCAAGATGGACGCAATGGACCAGGCCTGCCCCTTGGAGTCAAAAAGGGAAGTTCAGGTTCTACAACTGATTAATATATTAGATAAGAACACCTTCTTGCATTAGGACGCCTCCTGCAACTATTAAATCATATTTAGAGAACTGACTTAGACCAATGTTAGAAATTTCCATTATGTCATTGCACCACACCAGGGAGATGCTGAAGTCCTAGGCAGATGTCCAGATGCTGGGTCAGGCGGCCTGAGGCTGGCAGGTCACTCGTTAGCCGTCAGCTCTGGCATCTTATTTTGACCTGAGGTGGCCGGGTCACACGCTGTAGCCTGTAGGCATCTCCCGCCAACATATAAGGAGTAGTTCACATTCAACCAGAGGAAAGTGATTAATTGCTTGCTTATCTGGCGGTATTGAACTGGGAGTTTTTATGCGGGGGAACCCCTTCGGGGACCCTCGCCCAGGGGGAGTTGTTAAGATATTTCCTATTTAGACTGTTCCTATGTTTTGATCTGCGCAGAGACGGGATTATAATGAAATTATGACTCGGTTCTGACTGGGTTAAACTGGGCTAGCAGCTCTCAAGAGAGTCTCCCTAATGATTCAATATCTGTCAAGAAATAGTTTAATCTGCTTGCCACATCACGTAGGAAGGCTTTGAAGCACTGTCTCATGTTTTTCCTAACACGTCAGTCCACATAAGACCACACTTAGTCACGCCCCCTCATACACTGACAGGCTGAGCTCCACTTTCTGCGAAAGGCGGAGTCTAGGGCCCTATAAATTAATAATGACACGAGACATCGGGGCTCTTCTTCCAGGTCTGTGGCGTCACAAACTGAATAGAGTCCAGCGCTGTGAACTGTAATCTTTTCCTGCCTTTTCTAATATAATTTGATAAAACTTAATTGACGTTTCCTTGATTTATTGATTAGTATAGTTGCCACTTCTGAGGGAGGTTCAAGCCGGGGGTAAGGACGTGGGCTGGAGGGGGTTTCCGGATCCGGTGGCCAGCAGCCAGCTCTAGTCTTTAACAGCAAAGACTGGTTCATCCCAAAGATCCAGTCCCCCGGCACAAACAGAGTGATATTGTGTATGCTGTTCAGTGTCAGGAGGGTGATCAGTCTTACATTGAGGAAACTAAACAGCCACTGGCCAAAAGGATGGACCAACACAGAAGATCAACATCATCAGGCCAGGATTCTGCGGTCTACACTCATCTCCAGGCCAGAGGTCACTCTTTCAGGGATGAAGATGTTCACATCCTGGACAGAGAGGAACGATGGTTTGAGAGAGGAGTAAAGGAGGCCATCTTTGTGAAAAGAAACCGTCCATCATTAAACAGGGGTGGAGCCTCCAGGTTCAACTGTCCCCCTCTTACAATGCTGTGATTGCTAGTATCACTCAGCCCTCTGTGAACAGTAAACAGCCATCAGGTGCTAATGACCCATTGTTAGGCTGATGGTCCTTCTTGACCATGTGATCAGCTGGTTTTGGTTGTCAGCAGCAAACTGGTTGATCCACGTTGAGAATGTCCTATTTATAAGACTGAGCAGAATACAGCACCTCAGACTGAAGAAGTCTTTCGGATGAAAGACAAAACATTTCTATAATTTTTTTATTTGTTTTTTGAACCCATCCAGAGGACCCGACAACATTTTTAGATTTTTCTACCTGGATTATTGAGCATGCATCAGGATATACTATACATACTGAATGCAGACACACATTTAATGTACACAAATATAAATACCGGTATTATTTGTCCACAGACTCCAACAGGTTCGTGTCTGGTGTAAGAGAAATAATCTCCATCAATGGGGATGGTCTTACCCTCACACTTGTCAGCCCAACCTGCATAGTACCTAAACACAGTAAACATGAGTTATATATGCAACAAATAAAAAAAAAGTACAAATTCACAAACTGAATAAAAGAATACAAACCCAAATCATTGATATTAATAACCCGATTATCGCTTTCAAACTACATTATGACATTCTCCGGGTACATCCAAAGCATTTTACTGGCAGTGCATTTGTAAAATTTAAATTGCACTGGCTTTAAAAAAAGTTTTAGAAGTACATTTGACGATTATTTTCTGAACGTTTCAATAAAATCTATCCTATCCAGTAATTCATAAGATATTTTAATAAATGAACAGAGTAGATTAACAATAACTTAATAAAATGAACATAAAATGAATAAAATAATGTCATGATCGGCTCCGTGTGTGGGACCCAAAGTGCAGGAAGACGAATGAAGCTCCAGTGAAATAAGTAAAATCGTTTATTAATTAAATAAACAAAACAAAATGCTGACGGGGCAGCTAACTTACTTTAAAGGAGGACACAAGGAGAGACAGGTCATGAAGCCTTAGGACAAAGACAATCCAGAGACACTGACAAGACACCAAGAGGCTGAATATATACAGACACAAACAAGGTGAAATGAGTGACACCTGCGGTGATTAGAATTAGACACAGGTGCAACAGTGCTGGAACACAGGAGGAGAAGAGCTGAGGGGTGACAGGCAAACATGAGGGAAAACACAACATGTAAGACAAGACCCCAGAAACCCTACAAATAAATCCTGCACTACAATAAACACTTAGTTTCTGTATGTACCTGACCAGTTTTAGACCTTAATTATTGGTATTTTTATATTCTTTGTTATTTGTTTGTACTGTAATTGTTTTAGAGCTTGTGCGATTCCCTGTGTATGTTCCCTTGTACTGAAACTGACAACAATTTCCTGCGGGATCAATAAAGTTCTATCTTATGTAAAATTCTAAAATTTTAACCAACAAGCAATTTATAATGCTCAGAAGATATGGTAAATGGACTGTACTTATATAGCACTTTTCTAAGTGCTTTAATCTACAATCTGTGCCCTCATTTACCCATTCATACAGCACCTGTAATCATCATCATGCAGCATTCATACAGCAAAGATAATTGAACAAATCATTTTAAAGAGACTAATTAGTGCTTTATCACATTCATACAAAGATGGGACACACATCAGAGGCTATGAGGGGTTCAGTGTTGAAATGTTGAAGATGACTCAGTAAATACCACACCAGATTTCAGCTCAATATACTATGTCAAACTGACATATACTGTATATGTATACAATGATCCACCACCTATCGAGGGGGTTACGTTCCAGTGACCTAAGCGATGGGTGAAAATCTGTGAAGTAGGGGCGTTATTTTTTTTAGTTTACATATGTATACCAAGCTGAGATCTGGTGTG